TTTTTTCTTTCTTTCTTTTTTTTTTTTTTTTTTTTTTTTTTTTGAGAGGTTTTTGCTATAGGGCACGTGTGTCGCCCGAAAGACAGAGACAGAGAGACAGAAAGCGAGAAATCACCTTCCCCCGGGGGGATGGCCATGCGGCAATCCCGTCTCCTCCAATCTCCTCTCAGGATCTTGGGCACAGACACACACATCTGGCGTGAGTTTAAGCCACACCAGGCCCAGGACTCAAACCGTGGTAGACTACATGGGAGTCCAGCAACATAGCCATTATACCATTATACCAACTGTTGGTCCCACTGCTAACATCCTACAACAAGCCGATCCCCACAATGAATTATTTAGCCAACAGTGTCAACGGTCCTGCGGGCGAGAAGCCCAAGTCTCACTTACACTTTCTGTCCCCGAGGCCCTGTGAACAGTGCCTTTCGATGCAATTTTTCCTCTTGATTAAAGAGCCTGGGTTCAGGGCCCCTCTATGGGTTCCCCAAAGCTCCTTGATGGGATTCGTCCCTTTCCTTGCAGTTGCCTATGCTAAGCACCCCACACTGGAGGAGATGAAGATAGAGGTTCGTGTCCTACTGCCTTACCTAACATGCAACAGGTCACGGTGGGTGTCTTCTCTTAAGTGAATGCAGCCCCCGAGCTGGGGACTAGAGCCAAAAAGGAGGGTGAAGACAAGTTTGGTGACAACACTTAAAAGTGTTATTGGCGGGCCCAGCTAATGGTATAAAGGTTACATTGCTGGACTCCCACTTACTCGACTGCGGTTCAAGTTCCAGACCCAGGGGCTTAAAACTCACACTGGGTGCGTGTGCACATGTGCCCAGAATCCTGAGAGAACAGAGGAGAAAGGATTGTGGCAAGCCTACACTCCTACCCCCCCACACCCCCCACCAGAGGGTGATTTCTTGTTTTCTATCTCCCTAGCTGTCTCTCTGGCGAGCCCACATGCTTATAGCAAAAAATAAATAAATAAATAAATAAATAAATAAACAAACTCTCTAAAATAAATAAATAAATAGTGTAGGGTTGGCATACCTGAACTCGCAGCCGCGGACCTCCTGGGCCCCCACCTCTGCCGGAAAGCTGTGTTGTTAGCATGTGACCTACAGAAATGGCAGCTTCCAGGCTCCCCAGCAGACATGATTCACTCAATTCCTCACCGCCTTCAATTCTGAGTTATTCAAGTTTAATCCCATAACATAAGACATAGAACAGCACATTCCCAACATTGTCAAAAATAGGGGGAGCTCAAGTGGTTGGCTCTCCGGAGTCACGTTTACTTCCACAGCAGGCGGGACCGTGCGACCCCGCAAAAGCAGAAATCACTGCGCCAGGTCAGTGCCCACCGTGGGGAACACTTGAAGCCCTCTTCTTTGGACCCCGGTTTTGAAATGGACTCAGGTCGGAATGCTGTGCCCTGGGAAGGGCTCCTTCCTGGCTGCTGTGTCGCTGCTCTGCACTCCGGGGAATTCCTTTCCCCAGCGACCCTGGCCCTCTCTCCTGGCCTAGTGCTAGGTTCCTGCTGGCCAGGGAAGGGGCAGCCCCCGGTGCTGGGGTGAGGGCGGGGCGGGCACCCACGCTT